ATTTTAAAAAATGGTTTCTGATCATGTTTGAATTTGCTGCTAGTATGTATTATGAAGGAACATATCTTATATATATATATATATATATATATATATATATATATATATATATATATATATAGCCCTATCACACGGTCAGTGAGTAAGAAACTAGGTTATCAAGGCTTATAAGAGATCTCTCCACCCCCATCACTCTGAAGACGCTGACAGTGGATCAGCGAAAGCTAAGTTTGTTTTAATATTGTAAATAGTTGCTTTTATTGTTTTAATTTTTTTAACAATAAACAGCTGATTTATATTCCTCCCGGAGTTCAAAGATTGTGTATTATTGAACATATATAAAATGTGATCCTAAATAATATTTCATATTTAGGAAATTGATATAGTACCAAAAATCTTGTGTCTGAGCAAAAATTGCAGCGTGAACGTTCTGTTTAGTTATTGTCCTCCACTGAGGATATTATGCAGCAGTAACCACATCCATGCAATTTCATGAACACATCTGAATGCGCAAGAATTTTTTCACAATATCAAACCAGGATTATAAGTGTCTGGGATCTAAGGAAGAAAGCAAATGTTGAATCATCCCGGGGTGGCAACAACTGAAGGATGGCAAGGCAAAGAAGGGAAGAATGGAAACAGCGTAAAGGAATATAGAGATGACCTGGGAGAAGGAATTAATGAGAAGTAAGGCAGTTCAGTCCTGGAAAAGTGGGAAAAAATGAGAAATTCAAAATAATTCTGCTTTTATTATTTTTGGTACCAGAAACAGCTTTCAAAGTCTTGTTATTTATATCCTACCATAATAAAGTAGCTTTCCTAACATCCCCGAGGTATCTGTTTGGCCTGGCCTAACCAACCTTGAAACGTTTATATACTTCTCACACAATTTCCATCTACTGCTTCTCCTCCACCTCCTGTCCCTTTCAAGTAGGTCCTTTTTAGAGGTATTATGAGGCTTCTGGGCCAGCAGCTGACTATGACCAACTTGGTTTGTTTTCTAAAGATTATAGGCCTGGACCTGCTCTCTATGTATGCAATTTCCAAGATGCCCATCTCCCCTGCCTTCATTAGATTTATTTCATTTTCTGGAACATTGCACAGTCCTGCTCCCACTGAAGCTTCTTCCATTCTTGCTCGTCTGCCTTCTATAGATGTTCATAATGTCCATTTGGCAGCCATGGGGGCTAGAAGGGATGAGCAGCAAGCTGGGAGTAAGACAAGTGGTCCAACTCAAATCCCTCTTCAATACCTGAAGGATATTTCTGAGTAGCAGTGAAGTTTCTCTGGAACTGTAGAGATTCAATTGTCCTTGCATCAGGCTTTCATTGGGGATTTAAGAATAGCTTACAAGTAGTCCTTGCTTAATGATTGATCATTTTATAATGCTTTAGAGCAGGAGTCTTCAAATTTGGCCCTTTTATGACTTGTGGACTTCATTTCCCAGAATTCCTCAGCTAGGCACATTGGCTGAGGAATTCTAGGAGTTGAAGTCCACAAGTCATAAAAGGGCCAAGTTTGAAGACCCCTGCTTTAGTGGTACAATAGTCACGGAACTGGTACTTTACTGCCCATAAAGCACCACTGGCCATCGTAAATGGTTACCCTGTTTCCCCCCCACCCATGGTTGGGCAGGTCAACTGGTTGTGGCATTCTGTGGTTGCACGGTCACAATTCACAATGGGGGTTTTTATGCCAGTTTCCGGCCTTTTTTTTGTTGATTTCACACACAAAAAAGGCCAATCAAATGAATGGGCTTGCTAAATAACAACCACCACTTTCAGACAGGGATGTTGAGTTACAAATCTGTGCACAAACAATTCTTCCCTCTAAAATCTGGCCTGGTTTAGCTAGCAAGGATAGGAACAAGAAAAAACAGAGAGAAACCCAATGCTTGAAATGCTAGGTTGCTCAGCTCTTACCACTGAGGATGTTTTATTTATGCAGATGAAATTCATAATCAATGGAAAAACACAGAGGTTTTTGAAAAGCTTCCATCCTTTACCCATCTAATTAGTTTTATTTTGTAAAAAATATAAAATGGAAGCCATCAAAGGATCTTCCTAGAGAACAAAAAATGAAAGGAATAATTGGGTGCGAATGATTAATAAACATGAACTTACAGCCTTGATAATTACTTTCTAAAGGCAGACCAGATATTTCCCATAATTTCTTTAGAGGTTTTATCTGATTTAAAATTTATATATTGTTCAGGACATATAAATACTGCACCTATCTACAGTATACATTTTATAACTAATATTTAATTTTACACATTTCAGTTCATATTCCTGATTCTGTACAGAAGTGCAATTTTTAACGTTGACGATCCATTGCTTGCTGTAATTTGGGCTGCTGAGATGTACATCCATTCTGACTATGATGCTAAAATGGGGGAAAATTAATATTAAACAACTCCTATATTCAAGAATCGTCCCAAAGCATTTATTCCCCCCCCCCATGCATTAAAGTATTCTATTTAGTAAAATCACTTTTTTTCCCAAATTTCATGGACATACAGTAGGTCACCTCTGAATGTTGTAACAAGTTGCCCTTCTCTGTGTTAAATGAACTATTTTCTGAGGTGAAATCTGCAATATTTATTAATTTAAACTATCTGGTCCATCATTAATTCACCCAAGGTTAAGGAAGAACATATACTATATTCTATAGAAATCATACTACAGCATTTTATAGCAGGTGCTTATTATGCTTACCATATAAGTTGGTGCAATCTTAATCTAGCAAAATATTTATTTAAGAGTAAGCATCTCATTATCTCTGCTCTCATTATACTTTCTAATGTCTCTTTATTAAGATACAGATTTCATTGTATTTAAAGTGCAGTACCCATATTGCTTATTTTTCAATTTTTTTTCAAAGCCCATCATCCAAAGGCTGGGCTATCTATGAATACATCTTGGTTCAAACCCAATGTTTGCATTTAGCACCAAGACCGAGAGGCATTAAAACCAATATCCTATTTCTTCATCAATTCTATGTTCAGCAGCCTATTTTTCAAGGAAAAAAAAACTACTTCTGCTGCTACTGTCCAATACCTAGGACCATAATATTATTACCAATTTACTACAAATTGCTGAAAGAGTTTTCATTGATTCCTGCTTAGCATGACGTTTCACCTTAAAAGTGAAGAATAGGCATTATCCCACAAAAGCCATTCTAACATTATACAGCATCACTAAGCTACTGCTCTGCCAATATGAAATCTGCCTTTATTAGTGATACATTGCCACAGCAGTGGCTGGATGATGTCCTTACTTGTACACTAGTAAGTTATAAGGTCTTATAACTGCTACTCTACAAGTAGCAAAGAATTTGTCTCTGTCCATGTGCTTCTGACTAACATTATTAGGACTGAGCCTGAGAGAAGACAAATCACCCATCTATGTTTAATCTACATGAGCAAATGAAAACATCTCCAGCAGGCACTCATAACACTAGTCTCTCAGGAAATGTTTTTCCCAGGAATCATTCAGTAGAAATGAGAGAGTCAGTTTGGTGTAGTAGCTAAGGTACTGGCCTAGAACTCTAACCAGGAGACCGTGAGTTCTGGTATGACTGTGTGACCTTGGGCCAGTCACTCTCTCCCAGCCCAACCCACCTCAGAGGATTGTTACGGAAGAAATAGGAGGATTATTAGGTATGTTTGCTGCCTTGAATTACTTATAAAGTTAATAAAGGTTGAAATTATTTTTAAAAAATCAAATAAATATAGTTCAGTTGGCAGAGAATCCAGAGATGGTCCTTTGATGAAGATATGGAGACATGATCACCGTACATGGTCACTATATATAAAGATATGTAATCCTTATGATATTCTTGTAGCTTTTGAAGGGATTTAAAGGTGGAACACCACATTTTAAATAGATGTGGGAAATGAACTAGGGCCAGTATGAAGATATAAGCATTAATCCCTAGATCATTGTTGGGATCTGCTTTTTCTCCCCATATCCTCTTATCCATCACGTGGAGCTCATATTTGAGTTAACATTTTTTAATACAGTACTGCATATATATGCATGTTTGTTTGTGAATATGTATGGTAAGGAGGTGGTAGAACCAGCTATGCTTATGTGTTGCATTTGTAATACTGGAATCATCCAAACAGAAGGAAATTATTTTAAACATATCTTCCTCACTCCTTGATTAGCATGAATGATGAAGTTGTCTTGAATCTCTAAAGTGTATGCTATAATGCAATGTTTTAGCCTTAGAGAGGCTCCACGATTTGAGCAAGGAAGAAAGAACTTAACTGTCCAATGATAGACACATTCAAACATACAATCTTATGGTTTTTTGTTATTGCAAGATCAGGCTGCCTAATAACACAGCAGCAAAAGGGCAAGAGAGCAAAAATGCCCTATACTTCTTGCCTTGGTAAGCTATGATTCTCTGCAGCTTTATCTGTGGGGATGTGCTATGGCAGAGGTCCCCCCCTTTTGGGCATCAGAGACTGGTTATGTGGAGAGAGGTTTTTCCTCAGACCGGAGAGTGCATGGTTTTGTGTGTTGCCTGCATCCCGCGGATGGGGCTTTGCTTGTTGATGTAGACTGGTTGCTGGCATGCCACGGTCCATACCGGTCCATGGACTGGGAGTTGGGGACCCCTGTGCTATGGTATATCTATATTCTCTCATGTCTCTTTGTGACTTTCAGTTGGAAGGTATAAGACAACAATTATTGAACCAAAGTAATTCAAATGAGCTAATTTACAGAAATCCAGCACCCATGACTCACTTACGAATGAAGTTTGGGAAAGTTGTCATCTCAGGGCCACCACGCCTTCTGACCACACTTCCCAGAAACCCATGGGCTGCATGTTGCAAGATAGGATGGGAGGACTGTATCTTTACCTTTTTTCCCACCTCCCTCTCCCCTCTGCATCCAATCAGCTGGTGGATAGGCAAATGGCAGTTGGCTGCCTTGGAACCGAGGTTGACAATTGAAATAACAATGTTGGAGATAAAGTAAGGAGGTGAAGTAAGGATGAGAGAAAGACTCAGAAGCTCTGGGGAGCGCCAGAGGTTGATGGGTGAGCCCTTCCTCCTTAAAGAGAGGGGGCCCTTATGGACATGCTGGGACGGAGAGTGGGGGTACAATTTTCCTCACAATTTCACTGGTCACCTGAAGAAGAATGATTTCCAAACTCCCTGCCAGATTCCCACAAGTAATATCAATGGGGAATCAAGCAGGAAGTTGGAAGTCACTCCTGCTCCCAATCCTTTTTTGCCCACCCATCCTCATTCTCTTTCTCTGTTTAAGTAAGGGAATGTGTGTCTCTGAAAGGATCATCCTAGAGGCATCAGCTGTTTAATATGAAGTAAGACTGACCTCTAGTGAAAATATCCAGCACTTCAACTCATTTGTTTTCCTTCTTCACCTGACAATAACTTTTGTTATTTTTTAAAAAAAGCTCCTTAGCTTTGGGCCCTCAGATTTCATACTGAGGTCTCCTCGCAATGAAGGAAAATGGCATTCACAGGGATCTGCTTTTGTGGATCAACTTCTATTACAGACGGTGCACAAAGTGTGATCATCTGTTAATATGAAAAAAATGTAGTAACTGTTGGATCTTTCCACAACACAAACTGTCTGTGGATTGTGCCAAAAAGGATGATTATAACAAGCAACTTTGTAAAAAGGGGCTGGTTAGAAACAAAGGAAGCTGCTTTGGATCCCTAATCTGTTTAGCAAAACATTATCTGCACTGCAATGTCAAGAACTGAATCTGGGATCAATTCCTGGTTTTGCAACAGAGATAAAATATGTACCCTTCCTTTCTAATCCTTCCCTAAATAACTTGATTAAAAGACTGATGTTTCTGTGATAGAAACATGAGCCGCAGCTTCTATTTGGCTAACCCAAAAAGTGCCACTATAAATATGGAGAAGTACGTGACCATACATTTGCTGTAAAAAGGAACAAAATTCCCTGCTGATAATATCATATGCCGTATTGTGATGTCATGAGATGATCATATTTATCTTACTGTAGACCTCCTATTATGACATCACACACTGGAGGTCAGGCAGTTAATCTTCACACATCACAGAAGTGCATCGGAAAGACAGAATGGATGCTATTTTGATGCATGTGGAAAGCAGGGTGCTTTTTTGTGCATGTAACTTTTTGGTATAAGTTAGAAGAAGGAAACCAAAACAATTCTTCTGAAATACGTCCAATTATCACACTGTTCTTTCAGTGATGGATGGGAAACGCTCTGTGCGAAGATGTCCTGCTCAAGCACCACCAGATTTTCAAGATAACTCTAATGAGCAAGGTAGTAGTACCAGGGGAACAAGAGGATCAGGCAAGACCCAGACAAACAGGTAAGAGGGATGCATGCATTTATATTTAGCTATTGCAACATAACAAATGTATCTGTGAAAAAGAATCTAGGAGAGTCGTCTTCAAATTAATGCTCTTGTTTTCAGGCCTCAATCCCCAGCACCACCAACCTCTCTCTCAATTTTCAAGTCAGCTACAATTGTACAGTATAGCTTCCTATACTGTAGGAGAAGACATTATGAATGATTACATGATTGCACATGTGCTGCTGCAATTCATTAATTGCTTGTAAATGATTCTCTAATTGCATCACTGGGTTTCCAAGTGTGTTCCTTTAAATCCTGAATTTTTCCAGTCATATCCAGAAATCAGTTGCTGAGGAGGACAATAACCAAAGATAAGCTGCCAAAAGGCCTGGGTGCCAGTATCTGTTTTCCACTGTGGCATACAACAATAAGGAAGTTTTCAATGCACTTTAGGATTCATATTTAGTTTGTCATAGTTTGGCATCTGGGCCAAATTAGTAATTAGCAAAGTATAAGTGGTTTTTTTTTAAAAAAAAAAAAAAAAAAAAACCCAGACTCCTCAATCTTCTGCAATGAGCCATTGGACAATGACTCAGTTAGCAAACAGTGGTGAAGAGGATTTCCTAGGAATAATATATTCAAAAGAATGTAGGAGTAGCAGATGCCATAACATTATTTGCATAAGATAAAAATGACCTATGAAAAGGTACCCCATGCCATATATTGAAATATACCTTAATATAATAAGACTGTAAACATTCAAAAGAAGAACATTGGAGATTGGAAATGGCCACAGAAATCAAGCAATAAAACAATAGACTGTGTGATGAACATGGAATTTGGCATTTCTTAAAAATCTTAAAAGTTGATCTAGGAACTTTGACTGATGAGATCCAGGAGAAGAGCCTTCTCTGCTGTAGCACCAACCTTCTGGAACATTCTGCCCCTTTCCCCCCCCTCCCCCCAGGGTGAGGTTTGTCCCCATCCTTCTATCCTTCTACAAGAGCCTGGAGACTTGGCTTGCCCTTGGCCCAGGGACCCAATAAGGAAGTACATCACTGGAGGTGTTTGCTAGACTAACTTGCTGGCCCTACCTTCCCTCTGTGCTTCCTGCTTTCCCTCTGCTCATCTTTTTAATTTCATATTCATGTTACTATACTTCCACTGTTTATTGTTTCATTCCCTTACTATTGTAATTTTTAGATTTTTAATATTTTCCCCATTTTAATATTGTGAGCCACCCAGAGTACTCCACAGTGACATGGGCAGCAAATACAAACAAAACAAATGTTTATTCATAGTATGTAACATACCGGCCTTTCTGCAAGAAATTCAAAGCAGTGTAGATGATATTGAGAAACTGGAATGAAGAGTTATCTGGATATGAAGAGGGAAAAGTGACTTAGGGTATGTGTACCATCTAATGGCACAACCTTAAATCAAGTTAATTGTAATAACATATTGTTAAAGTATTGTTAACAGAGGGCTTTGAAGTTTAACTTTGCTGTTGTTAACTTTGTCAAGCACCTGGGAAATCAGGAGATTCAGGCAGTTCAAATGAGTATAAACGAGTAAAAAGATTTATTGCAAGCGTAAACTCTTTACAAGAATCTGGCCAACTGACCATTACGGGAAATGCGTGGGAGATAAGAGAGGAATTTGAGGTGAGTTGCACTTAGATCTCTTGTGGATGCTCAGTGACTCATGACTTATGATGTGTTTGGCTCCTCCCTCAGCCTCAGCCTGGTCATCTCCTACGTATTGTTAACTATTTTTACTTCTTACGTATAATGTATGACAGGTCAAATTGGGTTGCAAATAGATGTAGAAGTTTATAAATCTAGAACCTGTTTTGCAAGGGGGAAAACTATGGCTGCAATATATTTGTCAGTGCTTAATAGGAGGGATATGTGTTTTTCTTTTTTGTCATTTTAACTCACATCTTTTTTAAAATGTTTTTATCCATTTGTTTTGTTTTTGTTATTTTTCCCACCTTTGTATTTTGCATTTTAATTTTTTGAATAAAATAAAAAAAATATTGGAAAAAAGTATAATCTTAATGTACACATCTCCCCTAATAGTCCAGATACTGTGCTAACGTGAACACAAATGAACAATGAAAACAATACAATGAAACTTTGGGAAAGATGGATTTATTGTAACAACGGGGTTAAAAGATTTTTCACACCTCCCTTGAACTCTGTCTGCACCTGCTCAAGATAGGTACATCATGTTTGGGAAACCATAGGCTAGAAACAACATTTAGGAATAGCAAATACTGTAGTATTTTAATATGCCTTGTTGCCACAATGGATGGGACTAAGGACACTAAGCAACATCATTCTTGGGATAATGTATTGTATTTCAGGCAGCCTCCAAATTACAGCTATAAAGTATGAATAAAGTTTTATTCAGGAGCCGTAGTGGCACAGTGGTTAGAATGCAGTATTGCAGGCAAACTCACTGCTCACTGCCAGAAGTTTGATCCTGACCGGTTCAAGGTTAGCTCAGCTTTCCATCCTTCTGAGGCCAGTAAAATGAGGACCCAGATTGTTGGGGGCAATATGCTGACTCTGTAAACTGCTCAGAGAGGGCTGTAAAGCACTGTGAAGCAGTACATAAGTATAAGTGCTATTGCTAAATGCTAAAGGGTTGATATTTTTACCGGTGATTACAAATGGTGCCCCAACATAACATGTACCTTTGTAAAGCATCGGAGATCATTTGTAACTCTTCTTCTTTCAGCTGGTACCTGCTTAATTCTTCAGGAGGTGATCCCAGGACATCAGCTACCTCATCTAGCCAGATGTCTTCAATTTACGATCAGGGAGAAGAAAATGGGCGTAAGTGCCAGAAGCATTTAGGCTTTGAATAACACTGTTGACAAGAGGGAGAGACTGATGAAAGCAATATAAATTGTATGTGTGCTTAATAGGAGGACATATGTGTATATTCTTTTATCATTTTAACGTCACATTTTGCCCCAACCATGACATCTTGTGGGCTTATGGGCCATCAACGTGTGTCCGTCAGGTGGCTAATAAGACCGATGCTTAGCATTCTTCAGTTCTGCCACATACTGACTCACACAGAAATCTAGCTCAGCACTGTATACTTATATACAAATCCAGAAAGAGTTAAGATTTAAATCAGATATGGGTGACCAGCATGCATAATTTTTTGCTATTCCCCTTACCTCATCTCTGTCTCTACTAGCAACCGATCTATTCAAGAGAAAAACAGAAAAAAATATGTCAGGATTGCATCGAGAATCATTTTGACAGTTTAGATCTATACAGTATATGTTGTTCGTCCATTGATTTTGATGAAGACCTTGACATCTTGTGGGTTATGGGCCATCAACGATGTGTCCGTAGGTGGCTAATAAGACCGATGTTAGCACAAAATGTTCTGCCACATACTGAACACAGAAATGTAGGCACTACGTATACAGTATATACAAATCCATTAAAGAGTTAAGATTTTCAGTATGGGCCTGACAATGCATAATTTTGCTATTCCCCTTATATCTTCTCTCTAGCAACCGATCTATTCAAGAGGGCCTAGACCAGCAGTTCTCAACCTGTGGGTCGGGACCCCATTTGGGGTCGAACGACCATTTCACGGGGGTCGCCAAACAACACAGTCTGCCATTTCCCCCCCCCCCCCTTTTCCTTAGCTGTGCTACTCCCTTTTATTCTATTGGCTTTTGAAAGCCAATAGAATAGACTCTCTTGAATAGAGTCTAATTCTATTGGCTTTCAAAAGCCAATAGGAATTGTCCAGGCTGTCTCTGCCCTGCTGAGCCCTCCAAAAGTCCCATTCTGCAAACGGTGCTGCACCAGTTGAGTAGTCCTCGACTTACGACTGGTTGAGTAGTCCTCGACTTACGACCGGTTGGGGGTCGTGGCATTAAAAAGGTTGAGAACCACTGGCCTAGACATAAGAATAGAAACTAAAGGAAACTACTGTGCAGATTGTAGAAATATATATTGATTCAGTTGGAAGTCAGAGCAGCTGCTGCCAATCCAATCTGTAATCATTGATATAGATCAGGGGTGTCAAACTGCCGACCCACAGGCCGGATGCATCATAGCGAAACTACACCCACCCCATTGCCAGCAATGGGAAAAAAAGTCACGATACGTCGCAACACATCACGTGACATTGCAAGTTTGACACCCCTGATATAGATGATAGTAATGACTGGATAATAAGATGATTTTTCTTTAGCAGGAGGTTTTACCAGAGAAGTCATTGCCGGTGAGAGTTGCTATAGCCACTTCTCATCTAATTCTACAGCTTCATCTGAAAGGAGTACGCTGAGTATGTATCTAGCAGTTCCACTTTCCTCTGCAAGCGTTCCTAAAAATATGATGCATTTGACAACTAAAGTTATCCAAGCAGAAGCTAGACAGCCTTACAATCAGAGATGGAAATTAGTCTTCCAAGACACCTTCCAACTTTAGAATATCATGATGGGCCAAATATTATTATATCTTTGAGAGAGAGGTGGAATAATATTTAAGTAGATTGACAAATATAAACTCTTCTGGAGTTTTTTTCTTATCCACTTGATACAAGATGGTAGCAAGATATTTTACCTTGTAGTACAGAATGTTACATACTCATCCAAACCTATAGTAAGCTGTAAATGCAGGAATGACAGACTTGAGGCTACCCCCATCTATCTTTCCCATCTACTGTATGTTTTCCTACATGTAGAAAGGGACAGTGTGTCTCAGAAAATTTCCATTTCTAAGTCTGCCCATTGGACATGGTAATTTTCTGACTTAGTGTGAAAGTCTTAAAATATATTATTAAGATGCCATTTTTTTAAAGAGTAGGATTTCATTTCAGGAATTCTACCAACAGTTTTGGTGGACATTTAAAATTAAATTCCCTTATGATACAGTCCAGAAAAAAAATAATCTTAAAAAATCTAACTGAAATAAACATTTAATTCTAAAAGTTCCTTTGATTTTAGTAAGATTTAAGAAGACCTAATCTCCACTGGGTTGCACCTAAGGTCAGTAGTGGTTGGCTATATCCAGATATCCAGATATTCAGATTAACCCATAATTCTGCAAATCAGTAATTTGGAGATCCTTATTTGTTAAAATGGGATGCAAAACTAGATCTCATCGCGACCTAACATTTTGTTTTGGGTTTTAATGTTGACTAGATCCCACCACTTACTAAAATAGGATTTGATCCTATATCTCATGGTGAATGAGGATGACATGATGAATCATATACAGCAATAGCATACATGGTGCATACAAGAAATAATATTAACTGGTATATTTGCTAAGAGTTTGTACTGTGAATTTACCAGTGTTATTTAATGTTTTTTTCTAGGAAGGTATTAATTATCTTCGTACTTACAGTCCTCAGCAGATCAGATGAACAAAAAAGTATATTCCCAATTACTTTATGAACCAACTGCTTAAATGTTTTGTGAATTGTTCTGTTTCACAGAAACCATATGCTGCATTCCCAGCCTTATTGTATATTCTATTTTCTGCTTTCTTCGAAAACTTTTACAATCCTGCTGCTGTGCAAGGTAAGTAACAATGTAAAAATGTTCAAAAGCTCCTTTGGAAAGAAATCAAAATCAAGACAGCTAACTTTGCATCTGATAGTCTCCATTACAGAAGATCTGCCTTGGGTGGGGTAGAGGTTGGAAATATCAAATATTTGATCTGTTTTGACATGGAAAATTTTAAATAGGCTAAAGCAGAGATCCCCAACTCTTGTGGAAAATGAAAGGACTCTTATGAATTCCAGAGGGTTTTAGCAGAGAGATTTATTGCGCAGGTTCAGAAGCAATAGCAACAAGCAATTCTGAACCCCGAGGGTGGGTTCAGACTTCAGTTTTATACTTTCTTTTTCTCAGGAACAAAGGAATACACATTGAAATACACGTTGTAATACATTAGGTTCATTTCTCAGGGGTATACGATGGAGAGTTTGCTACATACATTGTATCCAAGTGCAATGCACATTAGGTTAGTCACATACTACTAACACAGCACTATTCCAGTAATTATGCAGACACATCATTATTCTAGTGATTGTTCATTATTCCACATTGCAACCTTTTGGGCACCAGGGACCGGTTCAGTGGAGAGTGGTTTTTCTGCATACCAGAGGGGGCATGGTTTTGTGTGCTGCTTGCATCCTGCGGATGGCCTTTGCTTGTTTGTGCAGACCGGTTGCTGGCATGCCACTGCCCGGTATTGGTCCATGGACCAGGGGTTGGGGATCCCTGGGCTAAAGAGCTGTTACCCTCACACGTTTCTTATTTTAATTGTCTTAATACACTTTCCGTACTTTAAATATTAAAATAAAATTACTTGTTTATAAATCCATGTTATACAGTATATTATAATAATGTATTGTTTTTAAGTTTATGAAATGTCCCACTATTTTATTGCATTTTAATGAAGCATTTTATGCATTTAATTACCCTGCAATTAACTTTCTCCCTTCCTTGACTCTAAAAGTAACAGATTCTGCAACGTCTCCTTTACAGTTCCTCTCTCCCTGATCCTAAGTCCCTCCCTCTAAATTCAATTCTACTTCTCTCTGATTCTCCAAATCTCAAATCTCCTCCAGCCAGCTTACTGGGTAATTTCTCTGGTGGTGAAAGTTATCAGTCTTGTTCTACCCACATTGGCTGAGATACCCTCTGACGTCTTGAAACCTTTGGATGGCTTCAAACTCTCGCCTCCATTACCTGTAGGAGGAAAGATGAGGCTTGTGTTATCTCTTCCTTTACGGTTTATTCACAAGTAGTCTTTCTGCTGATCCTCCTGCTGGTTTTCAACCACTCTTCTTTTTCTTTCCCTCTCTCTTCTGCTTTTCCATGTCTCAAATGTGTGACCTTAACATGCTTCTGAGCTCATTCTGTGCCTAGCCATAATTCTGGTTTATTTCCCCTTCCTCTCCCCGATCTTGTTAGGAGCTGGTTAAAGTATAATCCCAGAGGCAGGAGGTCTAGAAGAGCAAACTCTTCTACATCCTGTGATTTAGCTTAACATTTCAACTTTTTCCTAGTTCACACCAATTTTATTGCAATCCCATGGATTTCATTTACTCTGCCTGGACAAAGAACGGTAATACCTCTGGAAGCTACCAAGCCTAAGCAGAAAAGACTTATGGTAGATGCAGAGCAAAATCAACAGTAAAAAGGGAGAAATAAAATTGGGGTCAACTCCTCGCATCATGCTACTACTCAGGTCTGTTACCGAGCAGAATCTTGGTACCAAAGCTAAATAATGAGGTCTAATTGCTGAGGCTTAATTCACAGTCATTTATTCATTACACTTTTCAAGAAACAACTGTGATATTCACATTTGCTGCAGCTTTTATGTCTAGAAAGGGGAAGATGCTATTGGCCCTAGAAAGCAATGTGTTTGTAATACGAAGTTTTGAGGTGGACTAAGGACTCTAGTTTCTCTGAGAATTTTTTTTAACTCTGAACATAGAGATGGATAGGCCATTTGCAGTGTAAAGTGCTATGGATATCTACAGCAAGAATGTGTCAGGAGTTGGAAGGGATCTAGGAGGTCTTCTAGTCCAATCTCTTGCTCCTACACCATTTCAGAGAAATGGCTGTCCAGTCTCTTCTTAAAAGCCTGTAGCGATGAGGCCACAAAACCTCTGAAGGCAAGCCATTCCACTGGTTGATTGTTCTCATCATTAGGAAATTTCTCCTAGGTTCTAGGTTTGCATAAAAGATATGCCTTACACATCAAGATATCTGATTTTAGATTGAATAATGACCCAATAATTCAAAATCTGTATGCATCCGGAGCAGACCATGATGATATACAAAGGACAAAATATGTGTCATGAAGCAAACCTTGGCCTTTCATACTCCCCAATATCACAGGATAGTACAAAAGTCATGTGGCTTGCATGATGATACATATTTCGTCATTTGCCCTCCACCTATCAAGATGGCTGCCTCTTTCTATATAATTTTGGATTGCTCTCATTCGGCGAAGATATGTGGAGGGCAGAGGGAATGTCCTTGAAAGATAGGAAAAGAGTCACTATGAAAGCAATAGTTAGGTAAACAGGCTTGAGCCCAGGTCAAGAAAATAATGTGAGAATACATCTCAGGGAGGTCCCTTCCCAGGTCACAAGAAGACAAAATGAAGGAGGAGGGAAGCATGTTGACTTACAAGATTCTGTTAGTATAGCTTCACAATAAAATATCCAAATTTATATGGCCTTGGTTTCTTAGTCTTGTCCACCATAAAAACTGACAATATTATGTCATATCAATCCATTCATTCTGTATGATGATCTTATTCTAACTTATTCCAGTAGCCTCTTCCCTTTGCTTAAGAAAGTAAGAACCAGCTAAGGTCAAGCAATGTAATAATCTGAGCATTGCCTAGAATTTGATGCTTAGGGGAAAAAATGACTTCTTTTACATGCAGGCAATTTGCACTTCCGTCTCTGCATGTCCAGTCTGGGAAAGACTCCTGTGTAAAATCTAATAATGCTGCTAACAACTTAAACAGTGCTGAACTGTTTGAACTCAATATATTCAACTTCCTAGGTGTTTGCTCCCTTTCTCATGCAAGAGCTAGTATAGCCATAATGCATGATGTGATACCATTGGCACAGGGGACTGAGGAAACACCCTGTTTGATGACATCACATCATGCATTGTTTTATGGCAGACATCAAGCAAGGAAGAGATGAGAGAGAAAAAGACATGAAGTAGCAGCAATCCTCAGAATGACTTGTTAATAAACCTCTCTGGTTAGGAAGGGAACCAATAATGCCCTGGGGTATCCTTCACTATTATCAAGATTCCTATTCTTTTCCTTTGCAATTTTTAAGAATTGTTCTGTCCATTGACTTTCATCTAATCATCCTGTCTTCCTCCTCAGAAACCAAAATCCTATGGCAGACTGTGTGAAATGCTTGACATTCCTCATCATAGCTGTCTCAGTCATTTATGGTAAGTATTGTTCCACTTAAGATTTGAGAAACATTTGAATAGCGGCAGGTTCTCATGAATCTAACATAAAAGGTGCTCATGTCAAGCATCTGTCAGAAGTCCCAATGTGCCAGAGATAAAGGCATCCTTTATCCCAGGGGTCCTCAACCTTGGCAATTTCAAGACTTGTGGACTTCAACTCCCAGTTGCCAAGGTTGAGGACCCCTGCTTAATCCAAAAAAGTTCATGTTCTAACCCAAGTCACATGGGCAAGGCAGAATTCAAGAGGGACCATTTATTGCTCACTTATCACAGTGACAAACAACCCAGGATGGTGCCAATGAAGCTCTGCCCCAGCCCTCAGTTTTCCCTCAGTCTGGATTCACAAACTAAGTCCCAGCTGACCCATGAGGCAAGAGGGAGGTAACAATACCAACAAGTCCAGAGTTCCAGCAATCAAAACACAGTCTAAGAGTCTGAAGTCTGAGAGTGAAGTCCAACTCCAAAGTTCAAGGAACAGGATCCAGGGAAGCCAGGAAGAAGCACATCAAAACGAAGAATTGTTCCCGGCAAACACATCTTCCTCAGCATCTGGTTAAATTACCCTTCCCAGCTTTCCTTGTGAGGAAGGTTGGGGCTGCTTCCTTGCAAGCAACCTCACTGACCTCCTCTGTGCCCCTCTCTGCTCTGTTCTCTGATCAGAGGGGGACGCAGGTGTTCCTCCTCAGAGATGATCTGGAGCCTGTCATCTCTGTTGACCCTCTATAGCAGCTCTTCTCCTGCAGGAGGTTCCCCATCAGGTTGCCCCCGTTCACCTGCCAGACGGCCCTGGAGCTGCCTTGTCCTCAGCTTCTAGACTCTCCACTCATTTGGAGAAGACTGTGTCCTCCCTGTTGGATGGTCCTGGCTCCAACTTCTCCTCCTCCAAACCAGGATCCAACAAAGTCATGAGACACCTGCAGATTCTTGCAGGACAAATACGCATGAAAATGCACAGCAGAAGTATCCAACCTGCATGCAAGGGCGCTTTATTGTACAACCTATGCCTACTCACCCTTTTCTCAGCAGATACAAATTTTTCTCCTATTGCTGAAAGAGATTCTGTAATTTTGGTAGGTGGTTGAAGAAGTTGGGAGTTTGAATGGCAAGTATTGGTAGGAAGAAGTGAATTTTTAAATGCTCCTTCAGGCAGTGGGAGATGGCTATGTGTGGTGATATCTTTCTTATATTCACTTCTATATTACTCTGTGTTTATAAAACTAGTCTTCCAAGCTTTTCAATTTTTCAAAATGGAAGAGAGAAAGTGTCCAGTAAAGTTGCTAAGTAGGACTAATTTACTTCTTGAAGAGTTTTGAGAAAAGAGAACAGAGACTTCTTTCCTAATACTCTTCTAGTATGTTGCATGTCTGCAACCCTGCCAGAGGCACAAAAGTATAGATAGTCCTCCACTTACCACCACAGTTGAGCCCAAAATATATGTTGTTAAGTGAAATTTGTTAAGTGAGTTTTGTCCCACTTTATGACCTTTCTTGCTACAGTTAAGTGAATCATTGCACTTAAGTTACTAACACAGTTGTTAAGTGGCTTCCCCATTGATTTTGCTTGTCAGAAGGTCACAAAAGCTGTTCCCTACATGATCCTGTGACACTGCAGCCATCATAAATATGAATCAGTTGCCAAGTGTCTGAATTTTGATCATGTGACCAGGGGAATGCTGCAACAGTCATAAGCCACTTTTTTTTTAGTGCTGTTGTAACCTTGAATGGTTATTAAATGAACTGCTAAGTCGAGAACTACCTGTACTAAGAAAGGTGCATGGACATATCCATGGTTAATATCCACTAAACATAACTCAAAGGAGATTCCAGTAGAGAAAATTTCCCTGAATATGGTCTCCAATACAAGTCCTAAAACTTGGAAAAGTAAACCTCTGGACCCAGTGACTGATCTAGATTGGATCAAAGGAGATTTTATATTTACTAAACTAGATTCGAGGCTGAGCTGAGAGTTGTTCTGTAATAAATCCCAATTAAAAAACTCTAGGTGAGAGTCATGTAATTTCAAATTGGACTTGCAATGTGAAAAAGTGAGTCTATGAATCTGCACTTGGGTAATTCCCTCTGTGTGAAATAACCAGGCTGACTCTGTGCAACTTTAACAATTTCTTGGACATGAAACTTCAAGTTAAAAGGCAATTATAGAGTTAATTGTACAAACATTTCCCATTTTTGCTTATTTCTTACAGGTACCGTTTACTGCATTTGTCAATATCTGCAATTATCAGATGGCCTATCATCAAAGGTAAATACAATTCCACATAATAGACAGAAATGGAAGTAATCAAAATGGTTTTGGGCCAGACTGGGCAACTCATGGAGAATTTGGGAAGCATGCAGTGGGCCTCAAAACAAAATGACTGCCAAACATAAAGAGCCTTTCCTTAGTAGTGATTCTCAATGGAAACAAGCCCTTGTTGAATAATGAGGCCATTATAATGGAGGTGCTGTTCACATTTGCTTTCTTGGATTTTGCGGCTGCCAGAGATGTTGTATCTGGAAGACAGCAAGTGAATTTGTGTATATATTGGACTGGGGACAATATTAGTCTGGCATCATGGATATGACAGTTAAAACCTGGATTTCCTTTTTTTTAAAAAAATAAAAGAATGGCTCAGGTAGCAATGCTGGCTCCTCTACTTTAGCATTCTCCAATAACAGGTAATCCTTGTTTAGTGACTGCAATTGGCAAACTACAAGTTGGTTGTTCAGCAAGGCTGCCACTAAGTGAAAAAAATCACATGACCAGAATTCTGCTTATTATTTTACTTCAGCTTTACCTTGCTTTACAGCATGGGTGTCAAACTCGCCGTGTCACATGACGTGTTGTGACGTATATTGACTTTTTTTCCATTGCTGGAGCTGGGGTGGGTGCGGCCTCTATATGATGCAACCGGCCCATGGGCCGGCAGTTTGACACACCTGCTTTACAGCATCCGAAGGATACAACCCCAAACAGCTGTGTGAGCCCAAATAGTGTGGAAGGAGTTGGGAACTCAATTTATGAAAAAACTGGGGGAAAGGCCAAATCATATACCTCTTTTCCCCTATTCCCCACCATTTGAAATGCTCATCCTGGCACTGGAATAATTAGAAAGAAGGGAATTAATACTTGTATTTACATTCATTGGACAGTGAGCAGGCACACAATGAGGAATACACATTGAAAGGAGTGTAGCTGCTAGCTTCTTAGGAAGCATGTGCCTTCAGGGTGAAACTAATTAGGATTTTGTCAGTTGAGGTAGCAGCTGCCAGCAGGCTGTAACCAACTAATTAGGGTTACACAGCTAAGCTTGTTAAGTTGTTCTCAGCAGTTTTGGAGAAAGCACTGCTACACAAACAAAAAGTTCAGGCAGTGACAGCTTGCTTGAGTTTGGTATAGAGATTAAAGTGCTGGTTTAGAAACCAGGAGACTGTGAGTTCTAGTCCTGCCTTAACCATGAAAGCCAGCTGGGCGACCTTGGGCCAGTCACCTTCTTTCAGCCTAATTCACTTCACAAGGTTGTCATTGTGGAAAAAATAAAAGGAAGAAGGTGCGTTGGATATGTTTATCTCAATGGGTTATTTGTTAAATAATAATGAAAAATGGGATACAAACAAGCAAACACAAATAAAAATCTCTTGGCTCCATGAGGGGGTATGGGATAAGCAAAAGGCAGTGTGAACATGTAACCAAATGATGTTGCAAAGATAAATATGGGTACTGGTCCCAAAGTTACTTTTTCATTGTCATTGTGATTGTAAATTGTCACTATCTGAGGCAATCACTTAATGAAGAAAGACTATCTGTAGTAAGTATGATAAGATTGTAATCTGCTACATACTTCTGGCTGAATAATTATGGAATTGAAGTTAAGTATATATTTTTTCTAAAATGGTCATAGATTATGGTTAATTATGGTGGGGTCTGCATGTTATAAATTGTTTGATTGTTTATATTAAAGTTGAATCATGTGTTTGTTTTCCTTCCAATAGGAACTTACAAAAGTGTATGAAACTGAGCTGAATGAACTCTGGTAAGGCTATTCCATATCCCTCCAAAATATCTTAAAGAAAAAGACTTTACTCATTAATTAAATTTATAAGATGCTTCAATCTATCATGACTCTGGGCAGTTTTCAAAATACAATAGTAAAAACAAGAATGTATCTAAGCTTTAAAAAAAAAAAAAAAGTCTGGAGATCCTCATCCAATAAACCAAAACCCCACAACGAGGTCTCTTCCCCCTTCAAACCTAAGATATGGGGGGGGAAAGTCATGGTTTATGGTTTGTATAAATAAGGTCAGGATGGGAGCTGTACCAATCTCAGTGGGAATGTGGCTTATTTAAATGCAGCAGCATCCAGCCAGGCTTAGACAAGCAGGAGCCATCCAGGACAGGCCTGTCCAACCTTGGCAACTTTCAGACTTCAACTCCCAGAATTCCACAGTCAGCCATGCCCTGGTCTAAGAGGGTTAAAACAGTAGGTTGACCAATCCCATCCTTGGTTTGAATGAATTCTTATCCCTTGCTGGAGACTTTGGAGGAAGTCTTAAGGTTGAAAGACGTCTCTGAACAACTATGCATTTGCTTTTGGTTAGAGATCGCAGTACACAATTCTTTTGTCCCTGGGATAAAATAGTTAAGCTGCAATCCTATGTCTCTTTCTTTGGAAGAGTAAGTTCCACTGAGTTCAATAAGATGAATTCCTGAGTACGTATGTTTAAGGTGTGGGGTTCAGGCATGCTTAATATACACTTTCCTGAACCTAGCATTCTTCAGATTCAGGAAAAATGTCTTAATGTCCTGGCTTATGTACCCACAATAATAGGCTGGTGCATTGCAGGCCCAGGAATGGTCTGGCAAACAGTTATGATTACAGGCAGTCCTCAACCTACGACCACAATTGAACCCAAAATTGTTGTTGTTAAGTGAGACATTTGTTAAGTGAATTTTGCCCCATTTTATGATTATCTTGCTATACTTGCTCAGTAAAACACTGCAGTTTGTTAAGTTAGTAACTCAGTTGTTAAGTGAATCTGGCTTCCCTACTGACTATGCTTGTCAAAATGTCGCAAAAAGGGGATCACAGAACATTGGGACACTGCAACTGCCATAAATATGAGTCAGTTGCCAAGCATCAGAATTTTGATCACGTGACCATGGGAATGCGGCAATGGTTGTAAGTGTGAGAAATGGTCATAAGTCACTTTTTTCAATGCTGTTGTAACTTCAAACCGTCACTAAATGAACCTGTACTTACATTAGTCTGCTGCAAAGATCTGGGCAACACTAGATGGCAGTAACAGTAGTATGGTTTATATCCTTTGCTGCTATTTAAAAAATTTTCAGAGTTTTGCAGCCTGGATATAATCCTGACAATCAGTTTTTCCCCCTTTATTCCAAGGAAATCACAACATCTGCTTGAAGAACAATTCCATGAAATTCAGGGTCTTAAAAAAGAGATGGATCACATGCATTCTGAGATCGGCAGCATCAGGAAAGGCATCTTACAGTCCACAAAGCAAATCCTTGAGGAAAGTGACTTTCCAGGAGACAAGAAAGTAGGAAGCTGAAACTAATCTCAGAAATTCTCTGGTCTTCTATCTTTCCAGTTTATCGTTTTCCTTTTCACATCTCTTGCTACCGTAGAATGTCATTTTTTTTTTCTTTTATGAAACTAAAGTCTGTTAGGCTTGTTCTCATGCCCAGCCTCCAGAGTACCAAATATGCTTAAAAATACAGCAGGGAAAACATTAAACCACAGGGAGGCTCTCTTGCTTTCCTGCTGCAAAGGGTATGTTATAATTTCATACTGGGCACTAATATCCCAAACTACATCCAGTTTTGGTCACCACAATATGAGCAAGATGTTGAGAAACAGTACATAGAAAAGCAACAAGGCTGATTGGGGGACTGGAGACTAAAACATACAGAGAATGCTTACAAGAATTGGCTATATGTAATCTAATGAAAAGAAGGACTAGGGGTGCCATGATAGCACTATTTCAATATTTGAGGGGCTGCCACAAAGATGAGGGGGTCAACCTACTTTCCAAAGTATCACAAGGCAAAGCAAGAAACAATGGATGGAAACTAATCGAGGGAAGAAGCAACCTAGAACCTAGGAGAAATTTCCTAACGGTGAGAACAATCAACCAGTGGAATGGCTTGCCTTCATCTCTTTTAAGAAGAGACTGAACAGCCATTTCTCTGAAATGATATAGGGTCTCCTGCTTGAGAGGAGGTTGGACTAGAAGACCTCCAAGGTCCCTTCCAACTCTGTTATTCTATCTTATTCTAAATAGGCTTGTGTGGTGTACAGTTAGTTCTTTTATATGCTTAAATGTCTTTAGCAGGGACATAGTGTGCTCTGTATGGCGGCTGTTGTCTGCTTAGCTAAGGAAGTGCCAGGTGTTCAACAACATGAGGCAAATAGTAGGACTACTGGATCTGGGCTGGAAAGGTTTGGACAACCCCTAGATAGAGGTTTCTTACCACCCGTGACAGTGATACTCATAATAAAGGATGTTCTAGTATGTTTGAAGTCTTTATGGCCAAGACAAAGCAATTAGTGGTTTGGAAAGTTGGGTGGCATAGACATTTAATAATAAATAAAATAGTAAAATTATGGGATTACCAGTTAACAAAAAGTTCAGGGGAAATTTGTCGATCTCCAACCTGCTACGTGAGATAGTCTGGCTGGATTAATTGATGGTCCTATGAATTATTAAATCAATCACCTCTCCTTTCTACCCACTTTTCTTCAGACGTCCCAGCCTTCACATCTCCAAAAAATGTAGGCATTTCACGGAAATTTTTGCACTGGCGTAAAGTTTTGTCTTTTGACATTGGCCCCAAAGTGCCTTTGACTAGAGCTCTCAAAATGAAATGCTATCTTTCGGTGGCCTGAAAGATTTGAAGAGATCAACTGAGTCATTTCTTAGAGAAAGCAGGAAGGATATTTGAAGTAGAGCTCTCAGTTGTGCCCTAGGCTGGCTACAATGCATGCTTCATAACCATCATCTTTCCACATTCTTAAATCACATATAAAGGACATCTGAATAATCTAATAGAATCATGGTACACACTGTTTTAAGCACAAGCATCCATTCCTTCTTAGCTAAAATTTGCTATAAAAAAAATATGATTAGATACCAGTTAACTGTCCTTTACAGGGCTATTCATTTAGGCACATTTCTTTCCTATTTTTTCTCAGCAAACTCGAGGAACCAACCATTTCCTGAATTGGCAAATTTTGGCTTTTTGGACATGATGCTTCATTGTCCATATTCTCCAGACTGTTGCTAGCAGTTGGAACCAAGTCTATGGTGCTATTTATAATTTATGGTGTCTAATGTATGCAACTGACATTTGTATAAACCATTTACCTGATGAATTTTTCTTCTTCACAGGAAATGTTTGATATACTCCATTTGGCTTTTAAGAAGATTTTTGAAGACGACATACAGATGGCTGACTGGGCTCAAAAATCAATAGGTAATGTCCTGACAAGATGGAGTGGCTTTGGGTTTGCAACTCATGGCCAGGAGGGCCTTGGCATAACTGTGAGTTATGCGCCAGTTACACCCAGTCCTGGACCAACATGCCTGCTTTACCATCACCCATGCTGTAGTCACCTCCCATTTGGACTACTGTAATGTGCTCTACATGGGGATGCCCTTGAGAAGTTTCAGTTGATTCAAAATTCAGTGGCCCACATAGTTTTGCACAAGACAAGATTTGTGCATGTATCACCTCTTTTGAGGGAACTTATCAATCTTCTGGGTGCAACTAAAGTGCTGGAGATCATATTTAAATCCCTACAAGGAGAACCTCTCCTCAGTTACATTTTCCTGGCCCACCAGAAGGCAAATTATGTCATCAGTTCCATCTATTAGGGAGGTACATCTTGTGGGACCAAGGAGAAGGGCTTTCTTTAAGATTGGCCTCTACCTTTTTACTTTTTTTGGAAGGCTTGGTTTTGTCAGCAGGCCTGGGGACACCTGGTTGATATGGAGCCAACCAAGTGGCTAATGTGAGTTTGAGGTAAGGAGGGGGGGGGGTTTAATGGGTTTTTACACTGTGGTATTTTAATGTTGTAAGCCAAAGATCTCCAACCTTTTGGGCACTAGTTCCATGGAGAAAGGTTTTTCCACAGATCTGAGAGTGCATGGTTTTATGTGCTGCCTGCATCCCACGGATGGGGCTTTGCTTGTTTGTGCAGCCCGGTTGGTGGCATGCTGCAGCCCAATACCAGTCCACGGACCAAGGGTTGGGGACCCCTATTGTAAGCTGTCTGAAGTGACTGTAAATGTTGGGCAGCCATATAAATTTGTTTAATAAACAAACATATATATTGAAGGAAATATGGGCAAATAGACACATTGAGCAGACTGGTATGAGAATGAAATAGAACTGAATTGAAGTTTGGAAAAAAAAAAGTGACTTGAAATAATATCTGACAGATTTTCCTCTCTCTACACTAAACTTTCCAAAAGATGCTATTGGATAATTACATGTGAATGAATGTAATTTCTGATGAGAAGTTTCTTTATATTTTATTCTGTACTTATTCTAGCCTTTATAAAAATCTATCGTCTATCTATATGGAGACTACCTATGTGGGAACTGATATTGGGAAATTACATGTGAATGAATGTAATTTCTGATAAGAAATCTCTTTGCATTTTACTCTGTACTAATTCTAGTCTTTAAAAAAATCTGTCATCTAGCTTCATGAGAAAATACACCTATGTGCTCACTAGAAATGGAAAACGGCTGGAGGGTACATAATCATCTGTCTGTCTGTCTAGGAGCCACGATTGATAAAGACAGGACATCCAAGACTTACGATTTTTTGCACCAGGAATACTGTTGGTTTCCATTTATCTCCTCAGCCAACCCCCCTGAAACTATTTTACAGGTGCAGTATTGCTATTAAGTAATTAGTTCAGTGGAAGAGTACAATTTCTCAACTAGAAAAAAGTACTGTCCCTTGAGTCCAGCTTCTATCTCATAACTACATGTCATTATTTTCTTCTGGATGTTTTTTTTTTTAACTTTTCAATCTAGCCCTTGGATTTCTTAGAGATCTTGTATTCCAGATCGAAATGTTGATAAAATCCGACCTCATTTTAACTTTTTATGAAATCAGTAAAGGGAAACACAGTGTAGCTTCTTATGTTCTTATGCACATGTTTGTGTACGGCTAAACTTTTTCTGCAATTTCTCAAGGCTAATTTTCTTCTGACTTGAAAATATAACTGTTGCGTTTCCTTGCATTACACTAAGGCTGTGTTCACAAATTACAATAATATGATTTTGGTTGGTTTAGTACAGGCTGAGAGGGATGCCCAAAACTCTCCAGCTCAAAAATAGAATATTCCAAAGAAGTGCAAAATGTTCCCTTTCTCCTCTGAATGTTGTTTCTGAATGTATATCTGGAATTGTTTGTGAAGTTTTATGTTGCTGTCTTTAAAAATATTCTAAATGATGGTAAGAGCTGTGGTGGCGCAGTGGTTAGAAGGCAGTACTGCAGGCTAACTCTGCTCACTTCCAGGAGTTCGATCCTGACCAGTTTAAGGTTGATTCAGCCTTCCATCCTTCCGAGGTTGGTAAAATGAGGATCCAGATTGCTGGGGGCAATATGCTGATGTTGCAAACAGTGCAGAGAGTGCTGTAAAGCACTGTGGAGCGGTATATAAATTTAAGTACTATTGCTATTGCTATAGGGTGGACTGCTTCTCCTTATTTATGCTTTCTAGACATTGGGCAACAAAAGAAGAATTCTCTTCCATTTCTATAGAATTCTTCATTATTGGGCGTCAGAATGGAAGAAAATGGTTCCCTGAATATTTAGTTAGATCAGTGTTTCTCAACCTTGACAATTTTAAGGCATGTGGACTTCAACTCCCAGAATTCCACAGCCAGCATTGCTGGCTGTGGAATTCTGGGAGTTGAAGTCCACATGCCTTAAAATTGTCAAGGTTGAGAAACACTGAGTTAGATGCTGTTGAAGCATTGACTGCTGATGATAAATGCTTGGGAGCAAGCCATCTTTAGTAACAAATCTTCCAGGAATACTCCTGTAATGTGCTTAATCCCATCCATCCCCTTTATCTGTTCTTTTCACCTTCTACTTTCCTCAGCCATATGTAACCATTTTCCCAGTTCTTCATCTATTCCCTTCTTTTCTAGGGGGATGCAAATAAAAGTGTGTCTTTCTTGCCCACTCTCTTCTTCTCCTGAGTGAGATTAAAAGACAGACAGAGTGACAGAGAATGAGAAAGTGAGAATGCCTCATTCAAAAGGGAGGAATGGGATTGGAAAATTTATACTTTTGGGGATATTATTCTGGTTTAAATACAGAACACTATTTACCAAGTAATAGTTTACTTTGCTGGTATATCTGACCTCTTAATAAATCAAAGAAAACATAGCTAAGAGATCAGGAGCAATTTTGCCACACATGCACACTCCTGAAGAAACCCCAGTTGTTATTGTACTCACAGATAAAATCAACCTGCAGAACTTGAATTCAGACTGTGTCTGTTGAAGATTTTATTTATGTGAATTGCCGTCTGTTTGTAGCCGGATGTTAACCCTGGAAACTGCTGGGCGTTCTCAGGATCAGAGGGCCAAGCAGTAATTAAACTGCCTGAAAAAGTCCAACTCACAGCCGTTACAGTTCAACACATCTCGAAAGCAATAGCTTTTTCGGAAGGAATCACAAGCGCCTTAAAAGATTTCTTGGTTTATGTAAGTACAATACTGCTTTAACTTATCCTATATCTTTCTTCTAAGGTGCATTAAAAGAGCTCTGATTTAGGAAGCACTAAGGCTACTAAGCCCTTGATATTAATCTGATATATGATATGGAGCCACTCTGGCATAGTGGTTAAGGTGAAGGATTGGAAATCAGAGCTCCAAGTTCTAGTCGTCCCTTTTGCATAAAAGCCAGCTGAGTGACTTTAGGCCAGTCATTCTCTCTCAGGCCAATTCAAGTCTCAAGGTTCTTGGGGAAAAATAGGAGGTGGGAGCATTATCTACATGCCTTAAATTATAACAAATGAAAGTGGGATACAAATCTAATAAAAAAATTAATACATTAATTTTGGATATGCAAGCTGTTGTTCCCTTTGACAATCTCATTGTGAAGGGATTAGCATATGATACACTGCCAACTTCTCTAGAGTTTGGACTGGCAACCTATCAATAGAGGCTGGACAAACTAGTAATAGAGTCCAGATAATAATCGACTTAGATACTTTAATTTGGATATATATAGATATAGATATATAGATATATATATGTGTAGGTCTTTGGTTATTCAGGTTTTCTCCCACGTAAAATTGGAAGTGTCTTGGCGACGTTTCGACGAAGTCTCATTCGTCATCTTCAGGCTGGTGCTTTCGGGGGGTTCGGGGGGGGTGGGGGGGGGGAAGGGTTCGTATGGGAGGGGCGGGGGGGGGCGGGGGGTCTGCCGGGGGGGGGGCGGGGGGGGGGGGGGGGTTTCGGGGGGGGGTTTCGGGGGGGGGGGGGGGTTCGAGCGGGGGGGGGGGGGGGGCGGTTCGGGGCGGCGGGGGTCGGGGCGGGGGGGGGGGGGGGGGGGGGGGGGGGGGGCGCGGGGGGGGGCGGGGCGGGCGTTCGGGCGGGGCGGGGGGGGGGGGGGGGGGTCGGTCGGGGGGGGGGGGGGGGGGGGGGGGCGGGGGGGGGTGCGGGGCGCGGGGGGGCGGGGGGCGGGGGGGAGGGGGGGGGCGGGGGCGGGGGGGGGGTTCGGCGGTCGGGGGGGGGGGGGGGGGGGGGGGGGGTGGGGGGGGGGGGGGGGGGGGGCGGGGGGGGGGGGGGGGGGGGAGCGGGGGGGCGGCGGGGGGGGGGCGGGCGGGGGGGGGGGGGGGGGGGGGGGGGGGGGGGGGGGGGGGGGGGGGGGGGGGGGGGGGGGGGTTCGGGGGGGGGGGGGGGGGGGGGGGGGGGGGGGGGGGGGGGGGGGGGGGGGGGGGGGGGGGGGGGGGGGGGGGGGGGGGGGGGGGGGGGGGGGGGGGGGGGGGGGGGGGGGGGGGGGGGGGGGGGGGGGGGGGGGCGGCGGGGCGGGGGGGGGCGGGGGGGGGGGGGGGGGGGGGGGGGGGGGGGGGGGGGGGGGGGGGCGGGGGGGGGGGCGGCGGGGGGGGGGGGCGGGGGGGGGGGGGGGGGGGGGGGGGGGGGGGGGGGGGGGGGGGGGGGGGGGGGGGGGGGGGGGGGGGGGGGGGGGGGGGGGGGGGGGGGGGGGGGGGGGGGGGGGGGGGGGGGGGGCGGTCGGGGGGGGGGGGGGGGGGGGGGGGGGGGGGGGGGGGGGGGGGGGGGGGGGGGGGGGGGGGGGGGGGGGGGGGGGGGGGGGGGGGGGGGGGGGGGGGGGGGGGGGGGGGGGGGGGGGGGGGGGGGGGGGGGGGGGGGGGGGGGGGGGGAGGAGGGGGGATGGGGGGGGGGGTGGGAGGGAGGAGGGGGGGGAGGAGAGAGTGGAGAGGAGGGGGTGGGAGAGGGAGGGGGCGGGAGAGGGGGGGGGGGGGGGGAGGAGAGGGAGGGGGGAAGGGGGGGGGAGGAGAGGAATTATTACAAGAGAAAGCAATGTTGCTATGCAATGTTGCTGTGCTATGCACAGTGATTAGAATGCAGTATTGCTGGCTAACTCTGCCCACAGTCAGGAGTTCGATCCTAACGGGCACTGGGTTGACTCAATCTTCCATCCTTCTGAGGTCTGTAAAATAAGAATCCAGATTGTTGAGGGCCATCTGCTGACTCTGTAAACCACTTAGAGAGGGCTGTTCATTGAAGAAGGCTTAAGATGCTCAGAACTGAACTTCAAGAAGGTGCAGTGGTGTTTTGGTTTGGATAGGAGTTGGAGCATGATAAACAGTGTTCTGCAGCATGAGTAAATAAAATAGTCATCACTAACTTTCAGCTAAACATGTAGATGCAAAAGATTGGCATGGAAGCAGAAGGTTCTAAGGCTGAGACTATTACAAGGAAGTGTCTCTTATCTTCAGCTCCACATGAAAGATGGATGGGACTGAACTCTGAGCCTTCTCTCCATTAAAAGCACACTTTGACCAAGTAAATTTCACCCAGAAAAGATTTTGCTTGTGTTATTTTGTAATCTGCTGTTGAAAGAGTTTGCTGCTGTATGGTTCAGCATGATATCGTCTCCCAGAATGCATGGCTACCTGAAAGTTTATGACCCTTTTGCAAAAAAAGAAGAAGACTCAAGCTTTTGTAGACATGATAAATAACTAGGTTTTTTTGTAGCAAACAAGCTTTATCTTGCTAGTTCAGTTTTTTTAATGGTATTTAAGGCCACTTCTAGTGCTATCTTGAAAGAGCTAAGTAAAATATTCAGCATTTTGTTTAAACTCAGCCTTTTTTTTATCAAGAGTTCCCTAAAGGCCCATAGGGCAACCTAAGTGCTAAAAGATATGTGAATTTCAAGCCAAATGGATTTGCTATTGCTTTTCATGTGCTTAGGGAGGAAAGTGAGACAAAGAACAGACAGTGTTTGGACTCTCTTCACATTGATAGGAAATTTACTCTGTAAATTTACGCTGTAAATTTCCACCATAAGAGGGATTGTTGGGGAGGCATGCTATACAATTATTATTTTTTTCAACTAATGAAAGACTCAGAGGAATTGTAGAGTGTATAGGCAACTTGTGCTGTTTCTATTTCTAAGTTGTAGGGATGTTCACACCAATCCAAGGCAACTCTACAGCAAGCAACGGGAAACCCTTCCAGAATTCAGAACAATGAGAGCTAAAGGGGGTAAATATATACATTATGCCTTGCAACACTCTTAAAATGTTGGACCAGGATCAAAGAGTAGGACAAGGTGGACAAGGACCAAAGACTTAGACTTAAGTCCACTTTCAGGTAGGGAACCTATTGTAATGCTAGCCTGCACTTCATATGGTCCATGGGCTCCATGCAACCTGCCAAGGAGGTCTGTGCAGTTGTCAACATCAATACATTTGCTGACACCACCGCTCCAATGACACACACAGTGAAATGCATCCAATGTTAGGCAGGAAAAACCAAAGGCACAAATAAAGATTGGGTGAGACCTGGCTTAAAAACAATAACTGTGAGAGGGACCTTGGAGTCCTAGTGGACAATCACTTAAACATGAGCCAGCAGGGTGCAGCAGCAGCCAAAAAAGCTAATACAATCCTGGGTTGTGTAAACAGAGGCATAGAATCAAGATCACGCAAAGTATTAGTACCGCTTTATAAAGCCCTAGTAAGGCCACACCTGAGTCCAGTTTTATTTCCCACATCACAAAAAAGATGTTGAGAGTTTGGAAAAAAATCAGAGAAGAGCAACTAAGATGACCAAAGGCCCGGAGACTAAAACCTACGAAGAATGGCCGTGGAACTTGGCTCTGGCTAGTCTAAAGAAAAGAAGAAATAGGAGTGACATGATAGCAGTATTTCAGTAGTTGAGGGGCTGACACAAAGAAGAGGGGGTCAAATTATTCTCCAAAATACCAGAAGGCAGGACAAGAAACAATGGTTGGAAACTGATCAAAGAGAGAAGCAACCTGGAATTAAGGAGAAAATTCCTAACAGTGAGTCACTTAACCAGTGGAACAGCTTGCCTCCAGAAATTGTAGGTGCTTCATCACTGGAGTCTTAGCTCTTTTCCCAAGCTGGAGGAAGACTCAGAACAACATTATGCCCAGGAAGAGCCTGACTGGAAGACAAACAAACCCCATATAGTTTCTAGCTGTATTGCAACTCTGCTCTACAACATGTGCATTTTCTAGACCAGTGGTTCTCAACCTTTTTAATGCTGCAACCCCCAACCGGTCGTAAGTCGAGGACTACTCAACTGGTCGTAAGTCGAGGAGTACTCAACCGGTGCAGCACCGTTTGCAGAATGGGACTTTTGGCGGGCTCAGCAGGGCGGAGACAGCCTGGACAATTCCTATTGGCTTTTGAAAGCCAATAGAATTAGACTCTATTCAAGAGAGTCTATTCTATTGGCTTTCAAAAGCCAGTAGAATAAAAGGGAGTAGCACAGCTAAGGAAAAGGGGGAAAAAATGGTGGACTGCATTGTTTGGCGACCCCTGTGAAATGGTCGTTCGACCCCCAGTGGTTGAGAACCACTGTTCTAGACAAATATACACAATGGATTATAAAAGAAAAGAAAGGGGGAAAATGATGTATTTTGTCATTGAGGACAAGATAATCTATTTCCATTTCCAGGACAAAGAACTTTCTTCAGCAGTGCAATCTGCCAGTGTTTATGCTGCATGAACACCCGAAGGTCACAAATCTGAACTCCACACCTGGCTGATCTCTTCACACACACACACACACACACACAGTGGCTGTAGAAAGCAATTTTGACTTGCTCTGAATGAGCCTCTGATGCAACATTACCAGGGTCCATTGATTCAACACAAATTTACTATTTATTCCAGACTCTAGATTTCTTTCTGCCTGTTCAGAGAACCAAAGAATCAGCAGTAGCCACATAACGTTATAATTTAACTTTGCTGATGACAAGTCCTTCCAACTCAAGTAGGTAGCTGGTTTCCTTCAATGGCCACCAAACGTAATCTCATGATGACTGCAACCATCTATCTTGTACAAATCTTTGTACATTAAGATTTCTGTTTCCCCCCCCCAACCCCACCCAACTCGATCCCAAATTCTTCTGGAAGGCTATACCACTATAGTCACTGTTATTTTGGGGTTATTTATGAGGGATTAAATATGTAATTACCTGAGCCTCGTGGTGGCCTAGAGGTGAAGATGTCACCTCCCACTTGGAAGGTTGAGAGTTCAATCCTAGGCAGTGGCAGATGTTTGTCTATCAGGATGCAAAGAGAAAATAACTTTGTAGCATTGCGAAGGGCATCTGGCCAGTAAACACTCAGCTCCACTTAGTTGCCCAGACTCCACCCTGAATAAAGAGATTGTTGTTGTTGTTGTTGTTATTAGTTGCAAAGTCATGCCCAACCCATCGCGACCCCATGGACAACGTTCCTCCAGGCCTTCCTGTCCTCTACCATCTTCTGGAGTCCATTTAAACTCACACCTAGTGCTTTAGTGACTCTATCCAGCCACCTCCTTCTCTGTTGTCCCCTTCTTCTATTGCCCTCAATCTTTCCCAGCATTAGACTCTTCTCCAGTGAGTCCTTCCTTCTCATTAGGTGGCCAAAGTACTTGAGTTTTAACTTCAGGACCTGGCCTTCTAAAGAGCAGTCAGGGTTGATCTCCTCTAGGACTGACCGGTTTGATCGCCTTGCAGTCCAGGGGACTCGCAGGAGTTCAGGGTCATAAAAAGGAAAAAAAATGTAATTAGATGATTCATATGCAATCATAAGATTATTACACAGCATCGGTCTGGAACAAGAGTCTTTCAATTTGGCCCTTTTATGACCTGTGGACTTCGACTCCCAGAATTCCTCCACCAGGCACGCTGGTGGAGGAATTCTGGGAGTTGAAGTCCACAAGTCATAAAAGGGCCAAGTTTGAAGACCTCTGGTTTAGAAGCTCCTGAAAACAATAAGCATGCACAGATGTGTTCTAGCTAAACTTTGGACTTTAAACTCTGCTGGTGTTGATGAAGAAACAATTAAGAATTTGCTGAGTCTTCCCAACAGCAAGTAGTAGGACTTAAAATGTTTTTTAACTTGTATGGTTTTTGCTCTGACAAGATGACATTATCAGTGCCTGAAAGAAACTTTGCCATGCTCGGAAGAACTTAACAATTAAAAGATAGCTAGAAATAAGTTTCCCCATGTCTCTAGCTAGCTGGAATTAATTGTTATGGGTACTGGGACAATTATTTATTTGTTTATTTGTTCCACTTATGGGCTGTTTAATTGCCACATAGATATGCCATACCGATACAACACTCACTCAATGTACAATAAATTATATTTAAATGTTCAGGAATAGCCCCATGAGGGAGGAAGAACTTTGAGCAGTCTGCCATAACTGATAGAATTATTTAGATATGGGCTGCAAACATGCAAACAACTGTTAAGCAGCCCAAAGAGGTACTGAAAACTCAGATTCATTGCTGCTTTCAAAATATTGTTTGCCTAATATTTTGCAGATGTAATGGGCTTCTCAGGGACTGGGAAAGGTGATGATGATTTGCAAACTATTGTTGTTGTTGTTGTTAATTACGAAGTCGTGTCCAATCCATCGCGACCCCATGGACAACGTTCCTCCAGGTCTTCCTGTCCTCTACCATCTTCTGGAATCCATTTAAGCTCATGCCTAATGCTTCAGTGACTCCATCCAGCCACCTCCTTCTCTGTCGTCCCCTTCTTCTATTGCCCTCAATCTTTCCCAGCATTAGGCTCTTCTCCAGTGAGACCTTCCTTCTCATTAGGTGGCCAAAGTATTTGAGTTTCAACTTCAGCATCTTGCCTTCTAAAGAGCAGTCGGGGTTGATCTCTTCTAGGACTGACCGGTTTGATTGCCTTGCAGTCCAAGGGACTTGCAGGAGTCTTCTCCAGCACCATTATAGGTGCCAAAATATGCATTTTCCCTTTGGAAAAAAGAAAAAACAGAAACAGGGAGCAACTTTCCAGGCCCTTAGCAGTGGGTGATTAGTAAGATGATGAATAAATCTCTGTTCTGACAAACATAGAAATAAATTCAACAAGTACATATTGCAGTGTAGGTGCATTTCTGTAGCCTTATCTCTTTCCCTTTCAATAAATCTGGTTAAAGAAGACTCGTGGGAATCTTGCTGCTAAGGACTTGACGCCAGATGTAGTAGCATTAAAAGAGTCTAAGTCAGGGATCTTCAAACGTGGCCCCTTTATGGGCAAACTGGCTGAGGAATTCTGGGAGTTGAAGTCCACAAGTCATAAAAGGACCAAGTTTAAAGACCCCTGGTCTAAGTAGTCATTCTACTTGTGATATGACTGGCTGGAGAAGCACAATCAGCAGTTGGGAAGCAATGGGGGGGGCAGAAAGGGAAATCCCATCTTTATTATTTAAACGAAGCAAAAAAAGTAGAGTTTTAGAGGGAGATAGAAGTTAGATGTCAACAGACCATATCTGTACTGAAACAATTTCTTGACATAGGTCATGCCCTTCATCAACTGGATGTTCAACATTTCCCTTCTCTCCTGGAACTGAATAAAAAAATCCTGCTTCACCTCTCTTGGCACCAAAAAAAAAACCTCTTGATTATTTTTTTTTTCCAGCAAGCTGCGTCAGTGGCAGTTTCATACATTGGTAAAACGGAGCCTATAATTACCCCACTGGGTAGAATGAATTGTAAACAGCTAAAAGAGAAAAAAAAGAGAGATTTAGCTTTTTAAAAATAAATAAATAAATAAATGATGCAGATTATATGTTTGCCACTATAACCTATTCAGAAAATAATAATAATGATGATGATGGTGATAATGATAATAATAATTAGAAGGGGCCTTGGAGGTCATCTAGTCCAACCCCCTGGTCAGGTAGGAAACCCTATACCATTTCAGACAAATGGTTGTCCAGTCTCTTCTTAAAAACTTCCAGTGTTGGAGCATCCTGAAGGCAGGTTGTTCCACTGATTAATTGTTCTAACGTTCACTTGATCTGAGCAAAGAATTAAAACTGAGTGGAAGCAAGAAATAATACAATAAGACAAAAAATAGTATAATCTAAGCTCTAGAAATTGTTGGCATTAAATTGAGGTGTCAGATCCTTATCCCAAACTTTGCTCTAGGTCAGGAGTAGGCAACCTTAGCTCTTTTATGACTCATGGACTTCAACTCCCAGAATTCCTGAGCCAGGAAGAAACTTCCCAACAGTGAGGACAATTAACCAGTGGAACAGCTTGTATTCAAAAATCCTGGGTGCTCCATCACTGGAGGTTTGTAAGAAGAGGCTGTACAGTCACTTGTCTGAGATGGTATAGGTTCTCCTGCTTGAGCAGGGGGCTGGACTAGAAGACATCCAAGGTCCCTTCCAGCTCTCTTCTCTTCTCTTCTCTTCCATTCCTATTCCTATTCTATTCTATTCTATTCTATTCTATTCTATTCTATTCTATTCTATTCTATTCTATTCTATTCCTATTCCTATTCTATTCTATTCTATTCTATTCTATTCTATTCTATTCTATTCTATTCCATTCCATTCTATTCTATTCTATTCTATTCTATTCTATAGTTTACTCCCTATTCTATTCTATTCTATTCTATTCTATTCTATTCTATTCTATTCTATTCTATTCTATTCTATTCTATTCTATAGTTTACTCCCTATTCTATTCTATTCTATTCTATTCTATTCTATTCTATTCCTATTCTATTCTATTCTATTCTATTCTATTCTATAGTTTACTCCCTATTCTATTCTATTCTATTCTATTCTATTCTATTCTATTCCATTCCTATTCCTATTCTATTTTATTCTATTCTATTCCAAAGTTTATTCCCTATTCTATTCTATTCTATTCTATTCTATTCTATTGCATTCCATTCCATTCCACTCCACTCCACTCCACTCTACCTCTACTGTACTCTACTCTACTCTACTCTACTCTATCTACTCTACTCTACTCTACTCTACTCTACTCTAATTTGTTCCAGATTCTCCAGGAGCAACTTGATATTCTTGGAGGCCCAGAAGTATCAACTCTTCCATAAAAGAGAGTCCTTGGATTTGGAAAATGGCACCAATGGGTATTTTGTGAGAAGACATAGTGGCCCAAAGACAGCTCTGTGAAAAGTGGAGCTGACAGTCAAGAGCTGGAATAAAGAGCTGGCAAAATAAGAGGCAGCGCAGCCTGGAGCTAGATAGGAGACAGAGAGTAAAGCTACCCATTGCCTCAATCTCCCAGAATATATCCATAGGCTGGGACAAGAAAGGGTTTAGTCTGGCAAGATTCTGCCTATGTCCCAGAAGCAAATAATAAAGAACTGACCTCTGGCTGAATTGTTTCGTTTTGTTTTCAGGTTCGCTTCACATATAAGAAATGATGCGTCTTTATGGATTTGCCTACAGATAAGAGATGGGAAATGGCAAGAAGAGGTCATTTGTTGTAGTGAAGATAATAAGTTGCTAAATTGTTTATACTTATGATGAAAGAGGAAGTCGTTTTTTTATGTAACTTTTGAAATATATTCTTATTTTTCCTTTATTTTCCACTTCTCTTTCTACCCCCCCCCCTTTTTTTATGTACCTTCTGCTTTTTCTTTTTGGTCTTCTATTTTTACTTTGCATTGTTGTGATTATAACATACGTATATGAAGAACATGACACCGTATGGTATTCAGTGATGGTACAAAATA